CGCATTCTCTCTTCTTGTTCCCTCTCCGCTGCATGACGGGCAAGCATCGAGTCATATTCTTCTTCTTCCAACTTTCGCTTCTTCTCTGCAGCATTACGGGCACTCATGTAATCGAAAGTATCCATATGGCCTTTAACAAATGATTCTAACTGTGCTCCCACTCTACCCTCAGCTATCCCGAACTTCCTTACATCTTTCTGGAACTCGGTGCGTAAGTCCATTATATCTTATTAGATCTATCTAAAGATAAATATAATACTACCCCGATTCCGGAATAAAAGAATATGTCAGTGCAAGGTAAACTGGGCAAAAGAGTAGCCTATGACAGCCGCACAGAGATGTCAATGAATCAAAGTTGCCTACCAGACTGACAGCTTATAGAATAGTATAGCAGCACAGAGGATACGCCGGTAATGAAGTGATCTTACATTCAGTCACTAAGCATACTATCAATGATATGATGTCAACATATAATGCTCTACAATCTATATCAAATGATGAAACATGCAAGCAAATATAATAATCATCAACATTAAAATTTACTGAATAAACAATAATCAATGGTTATGAAATGATCAATGATAAGACATGATACTATCCATTTATTTATTTTAGTAAAAAGTTATTTATTGCTCTGTACTCTCTCCCCAAGTATAAATTACTAATTTTAATTTAGACTATACTGGCTGAAGAGTTAAAGTTAAATTTATTAAATTTACTTTCATTAGTGTCTAGGAGTAATTAGCCCAGTCCAAATCTCGGCGAGCTCGCCAGTGTGACGTGACGGGTGGGATTTAATGTTTATAATGTTGAGTAGGGATGTTCCTCTCAACACATTCCCTCCACCAGATTAACGGAACTAAAATCTGAGCTATGTTGCTCTAGACAAAGTCCTGGATACCCAAGAAAACAACCATATTGGCTCGTTAAGTACTTTAACATTAGCTGCACTTGGTACCCACAAGAGAAGGCAAGGAATTTTAGATGTCTATAGCATTATACTTAATGAATTATAGACAGGGCAAATGATTCCTCCGTCATCTACCTTCTCCCGGTGTTATTATGAATAATTAAAGAATTATTATCATATTAATTGAGCTCCCACCAAATGGTATTCTATCCTAACAGTTTAATTAAACATGTAAGAACAGACATTTGGAATTACAAAAACTGATGCAGGATAAGACCATATATTTGATTTATTAACCTAGCAATCAGAGTATGACATTAGTCATCATTATTGTTATAATAGATAGTGATGGTATGGTGATAATGAGAGGCTTCAGCTAGATAACTGAGCACCTAAGATTAGAGTGAATGGATAATGGTGGTGATAAGTTTACATCCATAACACACGGTGAGACGTAACTTAAGTATCATAGAACCTCTGACAGCCGTGGGTACTGTCAAGTTCTTCCACCTTTTCCTCCCAGTTCTCCTGGTCCTCCACCTCGGTCCCTGCTCGTCCCCACCTCGTTCTCCACCTCGTTCCCACCTCGTTCTCCAGAATTACACTGACGTGCGAAACTTAAATCTCTCGTCGCCACAATGTCTAGCGTCCACTCAATTCGTGTTAGGTAACCTTTCAAAGCCGCCCCACTCAGTCTGTGGTCAGGAGATAACATTCTGACACTGGCATGAGAATCAAACATAACATCCCTACTCTGAACCAGCGGGCTGTATTACGTAGTGTTATGTAATTTTAAACAAAGCGCAGTGGCTTTGTCTCGGAGAAGGACTGGTAACAATTTAAATCAATTTGGTTTAAAGTAATATTAGGGTAAAGGGCAGAGTAAATATAATCCTCTCTCTTTAGAACCGGAAGAACTTATTACAAGTACTAACTTCTGGAACCACTGAGATCGTATCGTGACACTAACTAACTAAGCTCTCCCAAGAAACACACAGCCCGTTATCATTCTCTCCAAATACTTATAAAAGTGTTTTTTTAAAGTAAAGATCCCTTTTCACGCCTTTAGACTCATCGGGTATATGGAAAGGGTGCCCATATTTTTTCAGACCATCGGCACTAGGTGGGTAATGTGGTCAGCATTACTCCCGCCGTTTCTCCTTGCCCAGGACAGCCATCCTAGTACCCATTTTAGGCTGGGTCGACCTGCGACGCCCCTTCCCACGATAAAAATTAACGCAGCCAGCAGTGGGTTTCAATCGCGGTAGGCTGGAATTACGAGTCGGATCGCAACACCTAAGCTACGGACACCGCCCCAAACCCTCATGGTGTCAAACAGTCCGAAGCATTTCCGTTTACGAGAAAGGATACCGCTTATGAATCAGTCTTCCCAGATTTTCAGACAGCCAAGACTGTCCGTATTTTTCCTCTGTGTGGTCCATGATGTTCTAAGACTCTTCTGGAAAACTACTGAATCATCACTACCGACATAATAGCACTCTGGACAGTCCCATGAATGGTCTGTCACCATATTCTGCAGCACGCGCAGTTCCAGTGCCATACTGTAACAGAAACAGTCTGACTGTATGTTGGTTGCGCCATGACCGCCTCCAGCTGACAGGTTGCTGTTGACGTCACCGGGTCGGGCTAACGATGCGTTAACGTAGCTGTTCTCAAACTGGGTGCAGTGAGCGTATGCCAGGGGTGCCGCGACAATAATCAAGAAAAGTCGGCTAAAAATTTTGAAATTAATAAGGAAGGCATGTAGATACTTAAAAGTTTCAATTTAAGTTGCTTTCCTTCGCCACTGTCGAAAATAGTTAATTTCTTGTTTGAGAACCGCTGCGTTAACGCATCGTTAGCCCGACCTGATGACGTCAGCAGCATGGCCCATCAGCGGGAGCCGGTCGAAGTTGCACCCCTCCCGTGATTGATAAGCGTTGGCCAGATAGACTGGTTACTCTTCGCTGCACTATTCTCTTCACACCGTGACGATCTATTTGTACCGATACACTCTTTACTGACTCCCACTGGGCCCTTACAGCATCATAGCTTGTCATGCCTTATTTTACCACCATGCATAATCATTTCCCAACACAAATGCTAGTGAATGCTATATTGTTTAGTAAATCACAAACAGTCAATCGTTACTAGTCCAGCTTTGCAGCTTTAGAAAATGGATGTACAACTTACTTTGTTGTACAAATGATAACTGTCTCAGGATTGTATGAGTTTTATTTGTTTTTTTTAGTATATGGTTCCTGGGTACCCAGTGCGATGTCTGTTCCCCTTATGTGTGTGTCGGTGCGCGTGTACTGGCATTCGTGCCATTGTATGTCTGTGTGTGTTTGTGTGTGTCTTTTTGTGTGAGGGTTTTTTTTTTTTTAAAGAAAAAGAACGAAAGCCAAACATATTTTCACTAGAATGATCTAAGTTATTAGAAAAGGGGAGAAGGGTGGAGATTTGATTCTTGCTCCCCTTCCTTAGCTACAGTCAGTAAGTTTTACGGAGACGTGTTAAGTATTTTCTGGTGTTTCGAAATACATATGGGTTTGTAATTATACCCCAGGGATGCCAATGTAAACCTATCATCGAGATCTTTTACTCTTTCACGTAAGTTTTTTTTTTTTTTTTTTTTATTTACTTGACACACTTGGTGTTGGCTTAATTGAAATGTTTCTAGAAAGTATTCTATTTGTGCTAATTATGGTGACCTTCTGTTGCTACTATTTAGGGACAGCGCGAGAGAAACACCAATCAGGCGCAGAAATTGGAAACACCTGGACTGAGAAGGAGAAGATGCCCAGAAGAAACCGTAAGACAAACGTCGAGGTGTCAGGCCAAACGTGCTAGTCCGGACTCGACCCATGATATTGAAACAATTGAAGAGAACAGAACGGAATGGAAGAATCGACTGCGGGCTGTATGTGGCGTACAACAGCACAAAAGAAAGAGGGGGAGGATGATGATGGTGGTGGTAATAAGGATGATGATGATGACTGTTTCACATGGATAAGGAGCAACTTAAATGAAACTTCAAAAGAATGCAGTTTATTTACATAAAAAGCACTGTCGATAAACTTATCCGCAGTGACATAACAAATAGACCAAGCATCATTAGGGATATACATATATAAATGCATATATATGTGCAAACAAATATATATCCACACACGTACAGAAACATGGTGTTTTTAAAGTCTCACTACACTTTTTATGTAAAACAAATCTATGAAACGAAGTTCATGATGTCATCAAACAATGTGGTCCACAGTCAAACGTGAAGCAAAATGCAGTTGATGGCTGTCGTCTGCTGGAGTACTTGAAGTTATTAGCGCTCACAACAGAATGGTGTTATCAGTGGAAGCAATATTTTTTTTTTCTAATCTTAGATGGCGCTTTGATATGGCAAAAATATTTCGGCTTCCGAGACGAGATGCTGTTTATTAGACACTCTTCCTTGATGTTTAGATCTTCTAGGATGTAAGTATGCTTTTCTTCTTTGTCCATGATATTCTCAGATCATTCTATAGCATTTCAGCTCAAAAACCCATATTATGTTACTTAAGAACTGAGAGACAGTCCACGACTTACATCCTTATGTTGTTATAGGGAAGCTATATTCTCTCAAAATTTTGACTTTGATTTCCTTGTGGTGCTTTACCATAAACTTTTAATGATGTTTCATGACATGACAAACAATAGAAATAAACAATTTAAACAGCACGCGCTGTCTCCGCAAGGTCAGTAACAACACAAGAAGAGACACGGTTACGAATTCCAGCATTAGAGACAAAGTCGGATTAAGACCATGTCTGGATTATATTGACATTGTTTTGCCATCTAGCGAGAATGCAGCCAGACCAAACTGTATATAAGACTATTTACAGCAGAACGCGAGAAAGGCGACAGGAAGACCAAAAAAGAGATGGGTAAATGGTGTTGCAGAAACCTACAAACAGATGAACAAATCCATCACCCAAACCACCCGAGAAGCCATAGACAAATAAGAAAAACCACACAGTTTAACCGAAATAGCATATCAGTGAAACGAAAAAAGAAGAAGAGAGGGCGAAATCATCATCATCATTCAGTCCACTTTGAAAAATATTACAAAACAAATATTTCTTAGACTTCCATACCGTGTAGCATACTCTTGGTCACACAGACATATCTGGGTAAAGTCGTACGGAACGGGAGTTTCCCCAGGACGCAGAAAGGCATTTTTGCTGACCGGGCCTCTGATGAACTTTACGTTTTGTAACAGCACCGACAAAGCATCAAATGCTTCCCCATTTCGAAAATGAGAAACAGTTTTTTCCCATTTTCTTCTACCTTGGGCAGTGTTTACTTCCAAAAACAGATGATCCTTTTCCTTTTGTAAAAGCCTGCTTACTTTGAACGCAATTACTGCTCCGGTGTTGTGGCAAAATTTAGCGCCTTTTCTAGTTGCCCATTTCATTGCTTCTGCGTATTCAGTGGTTACATAAAAACCATAGCCATTAGAGAAATCTTCTCTGCTCCTTGTTTTGGTTAAGTCGATTCCGCTTTCGAGAATACTTTTAGCGCTCTGAGCATCTGTGGCGTGGAAGTATAGTTCTTCGCCGTCCTCCAGGCGTATAGTTCTTAGCTTTGCTACGGCAGCGAGCATAGTTCTGAAATCGCTGGTCTTCACGAGGTTGATCATGTCTACGTATGCTCTGAGTGGAACGCCTTCTGGTTCTGCTGAGGGAAGCCTAGTTACAGCCTCACGAAACCAGGTGTTTACTTGGTCAGGTCTGTATGGCAGGCACGCATTTCTGTAATTAAGAGAAGAAACGAGTTCAGACTTTAATTAACACTAATTACAAGACATGTTTTCGACAATGATATGAGCGGTCCAGATAAGTCTCATTGAATTGTATGATTTTGTTGTTTATTAATACATTGTCTCAGTCGTGTACACAATATTTTAATGTAGTAATATCTGAGTCGAGAGTTGCTGTGGTCTAGAGGCTAGAAACTCGCCTGTGGATCGGAAGGTCGTCGGTTCGAGTCCTGACGGGACGGCCGGACTTTTTTTTAATAACTTTAGTTCACAGGCCGACCCAGCATTGAGTGGGTACCATGTACAGTACTAGGAAGTAAAAGCGGCCGGCCTGATGCTGACCACATTACCCGTCAAGTGCCGTTTAGTCTGTAAAATTTAGTTCTAGCACTATGTACCCAATACGCCTGAAGGCATAGAAAAGTGTCAAGAAAGCAGAAGGGAACTTTCAGAGTCAGTGTATTTGTTTATGTGTGTGTATTTGTGTGTTGTGTTGTGTTTTCTTGCTCGTCGTTCTTTTGCTTATAAAGGCTAACTGCCCTAACGTCCTCTATTTGTTCACTGCAACTGGGTTTGTAAAGCTGACATACTTTATGTTCTTCTTGCGTAACATTGTCTAGTGAAACTACACACACAAATTTCACCTAATAATGTAGTGGCCATCATTTAGTAGCTATACTGCGAACTAGACTCTGCATGTGACAATATAGCGCCGAAGTATAGGAAGTATCTTTTTTTTTTAAATCGAATAGACGTTATTGCAGGACTTCGTATCTCATATACAACGTTGCTTTTCTTATATCCGATTTTCTAGCATTTTAGCATCTGATGCTGCATTAGCCAAAGACTTTAATATTATAATTTGGTGTAATTCAGAAAATGCATTTTACGTTTAGTGCCCTTTATGACTTAGAGGTTGGTAAAATCGTTTCGCAATCTAATGTTAGAAGTAACAGGGTTCGATTTATGGGGTTCGTTATTTAGAAAAGGCGATTCTTGTTACCTTTAGAAGGTATTAGAATCTCACCTTCTAATACTATAAAAGACAACAGTTGGTGCAGATAACAACCATTCTGGAAACGACACAATTATTTTCTAAATCTATATTTGCGTTTGTTTGCATCTTCCATCTTCATTGTCATTAAAAATATATCAAACCAAAATTAAAAGTAAAACCAGTCAGCTTCACACTGTCACAAACACAAATGACAAGTGAACAACCTTAAGGGGTCACTACACAGCATTTTTTCTAATTTATGTCAAAAATATCACTTTTTCAATGTGTTCGTTTTTGTAAAGTTCGGCATTTGTAGAATAGATGACACACCAAATTTATGTCATTTGTAAACAATTTAGCATAGAAAAGTTAATACTAACGACACCACCTCGTGCAGTTTTTTAAGATAAAAAAAGTTTAAAAGTCAGTTTTCTCAAATCTCTATATTTCAGTTTGCTGTGTGTGTGAAATCCTTAAATATGAGCTAATATAAAGAGATTTTAGAAAGTTTTTGTTTTTTTAAATTTGATTATTGTCTTATGATGCTAAATTTCTTTGACTTTTTCAATAAACCTTCATTTTAAAATTCTACGAAAAATATTTAAAAACATGTTTAAAGTAAATAAGCTAGACCTGTATCTGTAAATAGGATAAAAGGTCATGAATCCATCATTTATTGTTGAATACCTATGTTTGTTTTTAAAATTTCAGGATTCTAAGTACATATTGTTTTTTTCACAAGATGGCGGCTATTGCCATGACAACTATGATTTTTTTAACACTTAAAGTATACAAATGTAATAAAATGTATCCCTACAAATGACCATTATAAAATAACTGCTCTAACTCTGTAAATAAAAAAATAAAATTTTTGGGTGTAGCGACCCCTTAACTAGAATGAAACAGTCAAGATGATTCAAAGAGTCTGCCTTAGAACAATTTATGGATGCAGTTAATGAACAATGCTGATTACACTCCGGTTTTCATACATTTTTTTTAGATTACCTGTATGAAGACTCTGGACTCCCAAAGAACTCATCTTCCATTTCTAAGGAGTCGTGGAAAATACAAAAACGCCTCTTGTTAATTAAAAGAATTAGGGTAAATGATACATGTAGTACTGCACTATCTTGCCTTTCAAAAGTTATGCTCTCACACTTTAACAAATATCTCAAAACCTCCTGTACGGATCAACATGACTGTTTGCTTGAGTCCTTAGATTTTCCATGTGCTTATGATTTTATAATTTACAATTGCACAGGTACTGCTGTTTTCTTACAGCGGCGAATTTGTTTGATTTTTTATTTTTTTTTACTAAGAAAGTGTGTGCCCCTAAATATAATATACAGTAACTGAAATATGCCCAGAGATTGGAAATCAATTTTCATGTGCAGCGATGCGTGGTAAATATTTTAATAACCTGTCTGGCATACAATGACAAATCCACAACCCACAGGAGGCTGATGCTGGAGACGCATATGACTCGCGGGCAATT